TCTATGTTTACATTGAATTGCAGGCACACTGGGGTTGATTTACTAAGACTGGAGAGTACAAAATCTGGCTTTTTTAGTTAAATAAAATTGTCTGTCCTGCTCAAAATGCAGCCTAATGAAAGTAATTAAAAACTATGCACCTAGTCAATAAAATAATTTGATGGCTATTCTCAGTCAAATCATACACTATAACATTGATTTCTTGATTAAAGATGGCTGGTGTGGGCTCTGTTTGAATACGGTGCAGGTGGTCACTACAATATTTTGGTGGCTTTTTTCAGTCAAATAAACTCCAATGATGATTTCGTGAGTAAAAGTAGACTAGTTTGGATCTTGTTCAAAATTCTGCTTAGTGAAAGTGTTTAAATAGCGTGCACTTTAATATTTTGGGGAGCATAAGAAATACATTCTAATGCTTATTTCTTGATTAAAAGCAGGCCAGGCATGGGCCCAGCAAAAATATGGCCTGATAAAAATGACTTAATATTATGCACATAGTCACACTAATATTTTGGGTGCTTCTTTCAGTCAAAGAATACATTCTAATCTTGATTAAGAGCTTGCTGGAATAGGTCCTGTTCAAAATGCAGCATAGTAAAAAGCTGTTCACTACAATATTTTTGTGGCTTTTTATAGTAAAATACATACATTCTTTTTGTATGTAAAAAAAATGCATACAAATTTTTTTTTTAAAGCTGGCTCTTGTCTCCATGTGAAAATGGCCCGCTAAAGTACCTAAATAGTGTGCATGAACAATTTTGTTGTCTTTTTTGTTGAAATAATACACTCCAACTTTGATTTTTTTTATTAAAACCTGCCTGGTAACTCCCTCGTAAATGAGGCCTAATAAAGCTTCTTATATAGTGTGCATTCAGTTTGTGCAATATTTCTGGATTTTTGTCTGTCAAATAATGCACTCTAATTGTATTTATAAAAAATAAACCTGCCTGGTTTTTCCCTTTTAAATTGCAGCCTTGTAAAAGTGCTTATAAGTGCAAGACTTATGTCTGTTGTTTCTGAAATAATACACTGTCATTTTAATTTTATTTGTAATTTATATTATTTTATCTCTATCATTTTATTTATAATTATTATTTATAATTTATGAGCTTTGTGTTGTGACAGTCTTTTCAAGAGCTCCCTTTATTGTCCCAAACCCCCCATCCACCCAAAGAATGCACATCTTCAACCCAGGTTATCCCCTGCTGTGGTGAAAGCCCCCTCTGACACATGAATGGCAGGCTAGTACTAAGCACATATTGGGCCACCTCCAGTCAGCAGTCCAGAATTGATACTAGGGATGAGCTCAGGCTGTTTAGGCTGTTCAACATGGATGAACATGACAGCTTCCAACTGTCAATCATTGCTAAGGAAGCAGGCGTGTTTGCACCCACCATATCCTTACCAACCACTGACATTACTCAACCCATTCACTTACATGGCTGAGAACTCCCAGCAACATAAGCAAATGGATGGGGATCAGAGGGGTTACATAATTGCCTAAGTATGGCCACAATGGACAATAACATTGATAAATAATATTTGTGCAATAATAGGGTAGGGCCTCGGGCATATGACAGAGCTGAGAGGAGGAATTTTCCTCCCTCTTAACTGCCACTGTTTCTGGTCTCTGGTGGGGTCGAGTATGTTTAGAGAGGGGGAGATCTGTACTAAGAAATCTGTACTGGGAAAGGGGGTGTCTGTACTGAGGTTTCTGTACTGGGAAGGAGGGTAAGAGGGGGTGTACTGAGGGGAAAGGGTGTTTGTACTGAGAGGTCTGTACTGTGGAGGGGGGGTGTCTGTACTGAGGGATTTGTACTGGTGGGGGTCTATACTGAAGGAGTGGGTCGGGAGGGAGAATTTAGGAATGTTAGGAGGATCAGGCTGTGTTGGCGGGGGGGGGGGGGGTCTGTGCTGCAGGGTCTGTTTCAGGGGAAGGGGGTATTTGTACTGCGGGATCTGTGCTGGGGGAGTGAGTTAGTATTGAGTTGTCTGTGCTGGGGAGGAGTCTGTACTATGGGGTTTGTGTTGGGGGTGATCTGTAAAGAAGAGTAGGCTGAGAGAGGGGAATTTAGGGGTGTTACGGTAGATCTGTACTGATGACATCAGTCCCCTGTACTGCCATTTCCTTCGACAGTAGAAATCTTTTTCCTCTGGTTCCCACCCCCACCCCACCCCTGCCGCTGTAATTTCCAGTGTGGTGGCAGTTAATGGAAGTGACAGAGCAGTGACAGGCACTTATCAAGAGTGTTCGACTATGCCGACCCTTTCCGCCCACCATTACACTACATTCATAGTCTGTCACAGGTCAGTTGGCTTCATTAACCCTCACCACACCAGATGATTGCAGCGGCGGGGGTGTGGGGAAAACACAGAAGGAAGATTTCTACTAAAGGAGGAGACAACAGCACATCGTAAGTAATGTCCCTTATGCTGATTTATTTTTTGTACACTTAGGCTTTAAAATGAGGTTTTATTTATTTAACTATGTACCATTGAGCTCCTCCAGCAATTTGGCCACACCCACAATATGGTACTATATTGCTTCAGTTCATATTTATGGGGGGCGTGGGTGTAAAAAAAAAATTATCTACCCAGGTGCTCAGATACGCTAGGTACACCACTAGCTCTGAATACTATGTATCTTGCCACTAACATAAACCAGAAAAGAATTACATTATGCAACAGAACTAGTCATATAATTCCAAACCATGTAAATGTTCTAGCACCTATCTTCGTGGAGAAATATGGATATTTGACAGTTCTATGCTATGTTATATAGCTTTCCTCTGCAGAAACCCCATTCCTCTGTGTGATCTTCCACATTAGACAAAATGCCTTCAGAATGACAGTTCTGCAAAGCATATATCTTGTAGGCAAGGTAGAAAAATGTTTGTTTTAAGTTTCTAATTTTGTTTCATTTCAAAATCATTACATGTTGACACTATATAACTATCTATTTTCTTTCCTTACTACCAGTAACTGAATGCAGCAGTGATGGATTGAAGGAATAGAGAGTATGATGAGGTGGAGCATTAAAATGAACCTGTTGCTTTATTTATTATGACCAAAATACAGATCCACTTTAACCTGTGTAAGCAGGTGGCCCACTGGGTGGGTGAATGGCCTCACCATAAATTACCCCAGTGGGTGACTATCTTCTGATTCTATTGTTTAGAGATGCAGCCAGACATTATGCCCTGTAGCTATGTAAGGTTTTTTTTGTATTTTAATTGTGCTTAAGAATTGGTTTGGAAATAAGTTTTAAGACCAGGTCTGTTCTTCATATCGTTCATGATCAATGTATTCTTCCTGGGCTCATTTGCATAACAAGTAAAAAAGTTATTGATGAATGTCACCTAACGATGGTAATAAAAGTGTTTTATACGGTGGGTTGTTTTTATCTATGGAAAAATTATTGGACAGCTGTGAGCTGACCAAAACAGACTCCGCTATGCCAATTTCATTTTAACTATCTTCTACTCTCCTAATCTTTTGCAATATTTACATGTGTATCCATGATTGTTAAAAAAAAACCCAAAAAACTTTAAAGGGGAACTGAACTCTGGGAGCTCTGGAACAGTGCCCAGAAAAAAAGGCAGATAGAGGGAAAAGGACTAGTCACCAGTGTTGTCTATTGTATCTCTGCAGCTGATCATTCCCCACTACTGACTCGTACCTTTTCTGTACTGTGCTTCTTGATGGAAGCTACCATTTTGGTAAACGCAGGGCTTTGTTCCCTCATGTCAGAGCCTCCGACAAGGAGAAGAGTGAGCAGCACAATGGTGCCATCACTAAATAGTGCCCAGGACTTTTTAGGGTCATGCACATACCATGAAGTGCATTTCTATCTTGCAAGATTAATTCAAGACAAAAAGTACATTTTTAGGGTACTGCTTATCTTTTTAAATGCTTCTTATAACATAGCAAATCTTCATGTTTTTGAGTTCTGGTCCACTTTAAAGAAGTACCCACAAAATCCTGAGTTCCGTTTGGCTTGGATGATGATGGGTTAAATTTACCTTACATTGTTTTTCTAAATCTCCTCTCCAGAGTGCTCAACTTAGCCTAAGCCTCACTGTTACAAAGCCACAAAAGGTCATCTCACTGCTCCTGTTGCAACATCAAATAAACTACTAAATGGGCAATCAAGACAGAAGATAAGCATTCTCTTCAAGTAATAGCCATAGCATGGTGTAAGGATCCCATTACTGATTTAAATTGTCATCATAAACCTGTAACCAAATAAATAAATCTAGGCAATGTAAACATCTATGTTGTTGAATGCCTTGTTTACAATATCAAATCTGACAGAAATATTAAACTTTGTAGGAAATCAAAAGATAAATTAAGAACTTCAACACCCAAGATAATATGACAAAAAACAAACCCATATATGTTTAAAAACATAAGGAAAATGTTTACAGTAATACCCTGATATTTATTCATATATTATAATCTTATAAAATACCTTGGATAGCAAAGATACTGACATGTTGCTAATCCAATATATAAATCCATTATACACAACATACTGTAGTCATGCAAATGATGGGACAAACACTGAAACATAAAGAATGATATCTGCCTTTGATTAATATGCTTTAGTTTATATAGTGTAGGCAGATCATGGAATGTCGTACAGTGAACAGAGGCGCTCTTGATTTTCTGTCCAAATTTGGTAGACATCAAAGGGAGGTCAGGATCATAGAATTCCTAGATGTGGAAGTATTTTTGTACAAATGTTCGATACTTCCACATCAACTTTCCATCCAGATCATTGATATTATATATTGAGATATCTATTTAAGATATTCTATAACCAAAGGCCACGACTGGTCCCAAATGGTTATGATGATGCTGACACAACTGTTGACCATGATATCTCCTATAGAAGTTCCTCAAGTAGTTGCTGGATTGTGCATATCCCCAAGAGCCAGTGGTGAAGGTCCAGGCCAATCTATTCTTTGATATCTGTTCTCTTCTGCCTCTGGGTCACGACAGGTACATTCATCTTCCTCACATTCTGCCCCAAAAGGAACCACCTGACCCTAAAAAGTGAGTATAGATTTGTTTGTCATTTCCCTGATAATCTGTTTGTGCATTATATGGTGGTACAAGCAAACAATGAATACAAATTGCATTCTTCAGTAACTAAATTAGCAGTGATACGACTGAAAATTGCCATTGTCCCCCAGTTGACTTAATACTAATTCCATGTCCATTGGCACTTTATAGCCAAGTGAATATTCAAAAATATATCATAAAACATGTGTTTTTATGCATACATCATAAAAATGTGAACCAAACTAAAATGATTAGTTTTTATATTTGTTTGTGTTGTACTAAATATAGATAAATAGGCTCATGGTCGAAAAAATTCATAAACGACTTCTTTAATGAAAACATCTTAAAAACATGACAAAACAAAACAAAAAAGCACCATACTCCACAGATCTCATACTATTCCCCTCAAATTTGGGGGATATGATGGGCCATATATTGAGATATATATAGTCCCATGATGGCCAGCAAAGCTTCGTATTACAAGGTAGAACACATGGAGCCCTTGTTAGAGAAATTTTTTCAACCATCAGCCTATTTATCTATGTTAGTGCAACACAACAAATATAAAAAAAAACACGGAGTCCTGGTTGAATCCATAACTGGAACAACTAATCATTTTAGTTTGGTTCACATATAGATTTTTGATTGGGGATTCCGGGACTATTAATAATTTTGAGACCCTGAGTCCTTTCTTGGGAGGTGTCAATACATCATAAAAACCTAAAAACTCTTAAAACCACATTGCGACTGACATATTATATGTCATAAAATATAATTCCTTGAACAGCTTACGAAAAAATACCCATACTATCCTACCTTCAGGGGTTAAGGGCATACAATATCTATAATGAAATACTGCAATATATGTAATGTATTTATAACATTTATACAATTTATAGACATTTGATAGATACCAATCTATATTGAATGTACACTGTTACATATATCTATATTGTACCCGCGCTCCAAACTTAATACACTCAAGTCCTCTAAGTGCTCTAAAAATAAATAAATACTAAATAAAGAAATATTATATATAAAAACCAATTATTCAATATATTAATCTATATCCATAATGCTTAAATCCCATAATTGCATAGTACTTAAATCCATGATTAAAGTGAATCATAAAAAAGAATGTACACTTACAGTTATACAATGATGCAAATACATATCAGTCAGGTATAAAACCAAAATCGTATTTTTTTCTCCAGGGGGAGTGAAGCTGTCAGTATCAGGTTTCAGGCTGTCCCTTTAAGGCTGAAGAAAACTCATCTGAAACAGCTCTTACCCAGAAATGACAGTGATTAGCCAGTTCCTCGCTGTTCATGTTTAATACACCTGTTGTGTACACCACCAGTGCTCGTGATAGCGGACACTACTTTGTATGATCTTGCTTGACCCAGCTTGTATCTGCTCTGTGTATTACCCTAAATGACCTGGCTTGCTCTGACCCTGCTCTCTCCTTGCTATGATTTTGTAACTTTTGGACTCAGATCTACACATGTGTGAACCGGCTCATCTAGACTACAGTTCTGCCTGACCTTCCTGTGTTATCAGATTCTCTATTACTTCTTGGGATGTTCTGACCTGCACCTCCTATGCACCATTCTTTGGTGTCCTACTGACATACTGACATCTGTAGTGGTGCTCCACAAGCAAGGCCATTTGTAATATTGATTGGACCCTGGGCAAACATTTTCTTGGGCCCCCCACCCCACATGCAATTTTTCTCTCCACCTGCTCTAAGACATACAATAAATAGCAGCTAGACTCAAAATCAGTTTACTGCAGCAGATCACGCAGCAATTGCAATTGGCTGCCAGAGGTTACAGCATATCATTATCGCTCACTGATAGTTGCTAGAGATTACAGCACATCATTTCTGCTTGCTGATTGGTTGCTAGAGATTATTGCACATCATCCCCACTCATCCATTGGTTGCTGGGGGAAGGAGGGGGGCAGGGCAGAGTGTGATCAGTGGTGGTAGTGGTGGTAGGGGGGTATATGGGATGAGTGACATTATTGGGGGAGGGTGTGATTAGTGACAGTGCTGTGGGATTGATGCAATTAATGGCAGTGCTGGGGGGGGGTGACATTAGTGGTAGTTCTTAGGGGGATGGGATCAGTGGCAGTGCGGTGAGAGAGAAGAGGGTAAGAGAGACAGAAGGGTGAAAGGGTAGTAAGGGGGGTGAGAGAGAGGTGGAGGTGAGGGGGGATGGGAGTGATGGGGGGAGAGGGGTGGGGGAGAGAGAGGGGGTGAAAGAAAAATAAGGAGGTGAGAGAGAGAGGGGAAAGAGAGAGGGGGCTGAGAGAAGGAAGGGGGGGGTGAGAGAGGGGTGGGTGACAGAGAGGGGGGTAAGAGAGTGGTGAGAGTGAGGGGGAGAGAGGGGAGTGAGATAAAGAGTGGGTGAAAGAGAAGGGGTGAGAGAGGGTGGTGAGGGGGGATGGAAGTTATAGGGGGAGACAGGTGGGGGAGAGAGAGGGGGGTGAAAGAAAGAAAGAAGGAGGTGATAGAGAAGGGGATGAGAGTGAGGGGGGGGTGATAGAGAGGGGGGGGGAGAGGGTGGGGGGGGGGGGGGGGGGGGGAGGGGGGTGAAGGGGGAGGGGGGGGGGGGGGGGGGGGGGTGGGAGGAGAGGGAAAAGGGGGAGAGAGAGATAGGGGTTGGGGGGTGAGAGAGAGAGGGGGTGAAAGAGAGGGGATGAGAGAGGGCAGTGGGGGGGGGGGGGGTGGGAGTGGGGGGGGGGGTGGGGGGGGGGGGGAGGAGAGAGGGAGGAAAGAAAGAAGGAGGTGAGAGAGAGAGGGGGGAGAGGGGGAGATGAGAGTGAGAAGGGGGTGATAGAGAAAGGGGGAAAAAGGGGGAGGGAAAGAGAGAGGGGGTGAAAGAGTGGGTGAGAGAGGGCGGTGAGTAAGGATGAGAGTGATAGAGGGAGAGGGGTGGGGGAGAGAGGTGAAAGATAAAAAAGGGGTGAGGGAGGGGGGTAAGGGGGGATGGAAGTGAGGGGGAGGGGAGGGGGAGAGGGGGGTGAAAGAAGGGGGGGGGAGAGAGAGGGGTGGTGAGAGTGGGGGGGGGTGATAGAGAAAGAAGGGGATGAGAGAGAGAAGGGGGGTGAGAGAAAGAGTGGGTGAAAAAGAAGGGGTGAGAGAGGGCGGAGAGGGGGGGATGGAAGTGATAGGGGGATGAGAGTAATAGGGGGGTGAGAGAGAGGGGGGGAGAGAGGGAGTTGAGAGGGAGAGAGAGAGAGAGTGGGGGTGAAAGTGAGGGGGGGTGGGAGAGAGGTAGGTGAAGGGGGAGAGAGGGGTGGGGAGAGAGAGGGGGTGAAAGAAAGAAGGGGGGTGCGAGAGAGAAGGGGGATGATAGAGAGAAAGGGGTGAGAGAGAGAGGGGGGAGAAGGAGGGATTGAGAGAGGGGGTGAGAGAGAGAGAAGGGGGTGAGAGAAGTGTAAGAGAGAGGGGGAGAAGGGGGTGAGATAAAGAAAAGGGTGAGAGACGTGTGAGAGAGAGGGGGGAGAAGGGGGGGTGAGAGAAAGAGGTGGGGGCTGAGAGAGAGAAGGGGGTGAGAGAAAAGTGGAGAGGTGGTGGGGGGGATAGAAATAGAGAGAAAGGAGGGATGGGGTGTGGAGAGAGAGAGAGAGAGAGGGATGGGTAGGGGTGAGAGAGGGGGAGAATGTGTGAGAGAGAGAGACCCCTAGCCCTGTCTACAGTTCCTCCTGTGCCTCCCTGTCCCAGTCCCTGCCTGTGGGTAGGTGTGTGTGATGCTTGGTACCTGGCATGCCAGCATCAGGCAGGGTCCGTTCTCATTCTGGCTGATCTGCTCCTTTCTCTGCTCTGCGGCTGTCTGCGCCCTTGTCCATCCTTGTCCTCTGGGCCCTGGTCAGCCTGTCAGCCTGCACCCACTTCTGCTCTCCTTTCCAGTGGTCAGGGAGGTGGTGGAGGTCTTCTCCTCCCCGGGCTCCTAATCCTAACCACCTTCGATGCTTGCCTTCTCCCTGCTCCAGCCGCAACCAGGAGCGGGACCCTCCAAGACAAGGGGCTCTAGGGGCAGCTGCTTTGGGCCCAACAATGACTGGGCCCGGGACAGCTGCCTTTTTTGCCTCACGTAAAGATGGACCTGTCCACAAGCACGAGCAAGCCTGCTCTGCCTACAGTCCTGCTCCTGGTATGTGCTCTTTATTGCTGAAATGTCTGCATATTTAGCACCTCTGAACTGCTCACTGTTACATATACTGTACTCCTGTCCTGCCATTATCACAAGCCCACAATTTAAGGAGGATTCTGCACAAGCTTGCATGTTTGCCCAAGAATTTGGCTGTTTATACCAGCAAGTACAGGAACTGGCTACCCAGCTCACTAAGGCACAGTCTCCTCATACTACCACCACTGCCAATACTCTGCTACAGTACATGAACTGAAGATTCCTTTGTCTGATCAATTTTATGCTGACCATAGGGAGTTCTGTAACATTAAAAACACTGCAAATTATATTTCAAGTTAAAGCCATCCTGGACTGGCTCTAAAACACACAGAGGGTGAAAATCATAATTTTGTTATTTTTAGGGTGACCCCCAGGTCTTTGCCTTTAGCCTGGAACCAAACCATATGGCCCTGCTAACAGTAATACCTTCTTTGATGACCTGGGCATGCTATATGATGACCCTGATCATGTTGCTGCTGCCAATGAATCAGCCCTTCATAGCTTACAGAAAGGGACCAACTCTGAGTTCAGAGCTTCACAGGTCTGGACCTTTAGCCTAGAACCAAACCATCCAGTCCTACAGTAGATGCCTTCTTTGAAGCCCTAGGCTTTTTATATGATGGCCCTGATCATGCTGCTGCTGCTACTGAACCAACTCCACTGAGTTCACAGCTTCACAGGTGGGCTCAGGAACCTGGATGGATTAATGCAGCACTATGCAGCCAATTCTGAATTGACTTATCCAGGAAAATTAAAGATGCTTTGGTCAACTATCCCCACCTAGCCTCACTGGAGGAGGCCCTGAAATTTGCCATCAGAACTGTCACCAGAGAGGAGACAGGAACTTGACACAAAGAAAAGAAGGAATTGGCCTCTGCCCTGGAGGATCATAGCTGTCTGTGGCTGTGTAGTGGCAGAACACTCACAGATCCTTATGCGACATTCATCCATCCATTTCTACTGAGAGGGAAGTGGAATGATTTCTGTCTTGGGTGATTGGCTGCTGGGCAGCAAGGCACTTCATCATCTCTTTGCGGGATCCAAATATTTGGTAAGGAGCTTCATAACCCTTGTTATAACGTGTGATTCTGAGACACAGCTTCTTTCCTCGGGTGTCTTCTCATTTTTCACTAATTCACTTGGAGTGCATGGATTTTGAACCTTCTTTATTAACTTTTAGAGATTTAGTTTCATTGGAATTTTGCACAATTTTATCTGACATCTGTTATAATGTTTATAGGATTATATTAATTAAGTGCACAATAATTTAATTTAACAGGATGGTTGTATAATTGGTAAAGTAGAGGAGACAATGCACTGATGTTTGGTTTTCATTTTTTTCACACATATTACCCAATGTGATTCAGTTGCAGTGGTCCCTGATATTTTATGGTGTACCAAACGCAGGATTATCTTTTTCTTTTTTTTCCTTTTTTTTTGTTTAATAAGAGGTTGTACTGACCATTTACCACACACTATACTTACCCTATTAATGGGGCACAGAATATATATTCCTTTAATCATATATATTGTATTTCGATGTTGCAGCCTGGTCTAGATAATTATTATCTATCCCCTGTAGTGAGGAAAAGATGAAGGCCTTGTTTCATTGCTGTATTCTATGCTTACAACTCCTTATGTAAAATAATAAAGACACGCATCGAGCATAAATATGACTAAGCATGGAAACAATAGACCTTCCTTGAATTCATTGTTGGTTTTACTTTTACAATGTTCTTGACTCTCCTTGGCGAAAGAAAAAATGATTTTGTTTTTTTTACCTAGCTGATATGTATTAGCATCATTTTATAACTGTACGTGTACATTCGATTAGAATTAGTATCTATTAAATACTGTATCTATGTATTTTATAAACATTCTAAATACATTACAAACATCTAATTATTTCATTATAGATACTGTATACTCTTAACCCTTGAAAAGGACCCTGTTCAAGACATGTTGCACCTTTCCTAACATTGAGATCTGTATGGACACATCAAGAACGACAAAGTTTGTGTATGATCCCATACAGGGTAGTATGAATATTTTGAAAACTTTACGACGACTGAAATTTGTATATTGTATAATATGACAGATGCAGTTTGGTTTTATGAGATGATTGTTTTTAAGACTGTACTTCTCCTGTGAATCACAGGAGTGCAGTTCGTTTTGCACTCCTGTGACCCATTTTCAGCTGACAGCAGGCTGAAGTCCGCTGTTGACTGTCATTCAGCCGGTCCAGGCTGGAGAAAGATCTCGACTTTGAAGTCAGGATCCACCCCAAACTCTCAAGCAGAACTTGACTTAAGCAGAGCCTAAGCCAGCCGTTTCCTTCTCCTCCACAGCCCAGTGCTCCAGTGAGCACGGGGGGCAGAGCAGACAGCGGTGACTGCTCAGAGCGGCGGTGAGACAATTGCAGCATCGGACTGATGCTGCATCCACCTAGGTAAGTATAAATAGGGGGGGAAATAACACAAACTTCCCTTTTAATTAATACAATTTGTCATTATACACATTTACAGTATACACAGGTATTGGCAAAGCTGTGTGGTTTTGTTGATGAAGCCAGCGATATGAGTGTCAAACCCCTATTCACCTTTCCCTGTAGGGCTTTATAGTTGTCACTGTAACAGGAATAGAAGAAAAATCTTCAAAAAAGGACACCTGTTCCAGTGACCACTCTCTGGAAGAAAATTTCCTCTCACTTCTCACTTCCTGTTGTGTTTCCAGAGACACAGAAAAAACTGTGGATTTACCTCTCTATATCCAAAACGTTAAAAAAAAAATTTTGCTTTTTAGTTAAAGCTTAGGTTTAAAGAGTATTTTTACTTGCATAGAGTTTAACTTTTATCTGTCATTGATGGGGTAAAGTCATCCCCACCCTACATTGTAAGAAAAAAGTGGCAGTTAGCTCACTAGGTTTTTTAAAAGTTGGCCTATGTAACTTTTTCAGGCTGATTATCTTACTGTGTCAAGACTTAGCAAGTTTAATTTCTTGTCTTGCTGATAGAGAGAAAAATATAGATGTTCATTTTTCATCAGTTAAACGGCAATTTGAAAGTGTGCAGTTGCGTTCATGCACAGAGAGCTCATTGTTTGGAAAAATATCTCTGGCTAGTTGAATTGTTTCCTTACCTTGTGTGAGGACAGGGTAGAGGCACAGCAGTCTCCTCCGTCATACTGACAATACGCACGGTTATTAATTGTGTCACACCAGCCATCTGCTTGAAAGGGCTACACAGGAACACAGAGTCAGTCAACACAATACACAGAGGAAATCAATAGAACGTACATAACCTTTACAGCTTTGACTCTGAGGGTATAGAGAGAACAATATTTTTTTCTGGCTTGCAGAAAATTGCTGAGATGAAATGCTTTGTCTGTTAGATACATTTCCAATGTGTAGGTGGATAAATGTGAAACACTTTTAGCAGACTAAGAACTGTAGCATCCGCTGTGTCGCCTTCCATTAAAAGAATGGAATAGAATATAGCCTACATATTGTGACAGATAATAGAAAGAACCAAAGTAGATGGTGAAACTTGGGAGCTAATGGCATAATTCTGAATACAAGTTAAATCAACTCATTCCTGAGAACTAAAAGATTGGTAATATCATGTTTCCTGTGTCCCTCAGGCTTCTTTCCTTTCTCATCCCACTGTCCACCCTATCATTTTTTGGCTGCCCACAGTTTCCTTTCCCATAACATTTTTACATTCTAACAGTACCCTTCCTGCCTGACCTTTCCTTTTCTATCTCATTTTGAGTCTATCATTACTTTTCCTGCCTTACCTTTCCTTTCCTACTGTCTTTCTGGTCTCATATTTCCTTTTTCAAACCTTTTCCACCATTTCTTTCCTGTTCCATCATTTCTTTTCCCATCCATTTTCCACCCTATTAATACTTCTACCATACTATGGGGTATACTGTATTTACTAAAACTGGTGCACTCAGAATCTGGTGCGGTTGTGCATGGTAGCCAATCAGCTTCTAAGGTCAGCTTGTTCAATTTACGGATAAGTTCACCTTTTGGACAAAAATTATAAATGCACTTTTTTTGCATTTATTATTTTTGTCCAAAGGAGCCTATAAAGCATGGCACCAGCGATCAGTAGATCGCTGATGTCATGCAGATCTCCTACAGACCTGTCAGAATATCTGCTTACCATACAGCGATGTAATGCCAAGCAGATATTCTGACAGGAAGCTTCAATGAACTACCATTCAGCGCTGTGGTAGTTCATTAAAAACTACAAGTCTACAGCCACTAAGGCTGTCAGGACTTGCAGTTCATTAATTCAGGGAAGTTTGTGAATGAATGACGTGGCTGTATGGGAGGAGCCCAGCACTGCTGTGCTGTTTTCAAATCTGACAGATAGTATGGGGAACTTCTCTCTGTATTATTTGTCAGTGGGAGGGGGGGTGGTGGTGGGTGCGGCTGCAGCTATGGAAACATGAATGGAACATATAACATGTTTCCAAAGGTGAACTTATCCTTTAAGCTTAAGCAATAAAACCAGGAAGCTGATTGTTTTTTCTGCAGAGCTGCACCAGATTTTGCAGCCTCCAGTTTTAGTAAATACCCTCTATATTTTATTTTCCCATACATTTTTTCATCCTATCATAATATTTCCTACCATGTTCTTTTTCTATCCTCCCATTTTCTTTCCTGTATATCCTTTCTACCCATTTTTGCCACTCTATCATTTATTTTCCCACCTTATCCTTTCTCATGCCCTACCATTTTGATTCCCTCAAACTAGATCCAAAAAGAAAGTGAAACATTTATTATTAAAGTGGTTGTACACATAAATTTAAAAAAAAAACAGATTCATACTTACCTGCTCTGTGCAATTGAATTGCACATAACAGCCCCGAACCTCCTCTTCTTGGGTCTCCCACTGGCACTCCTGGCTCTTCGCTCTGTCCAGTGCCTCCATATGAAGCTGCTTCCTATGGGGGGACTTGTGCGTGCTCGTTCTTGAACCCTGCTGTCTGCATCCATTGACACAGACAGCGGGACTCGGCCCTGACACTCACTCCCTCTTCATTGGCTTTGATTGAGAGTGGTGGGTGCCAATGGCTCCCGCTGCCCCCGCAAAGCCTGTGAGACCTGGAACTAAATGGAGAGAAGAGCTGCAGATGTGCACAGCGCTGGATCAAATGAAGACTCAGTTAAGTAAAAAGGGGGGTGAGAGGAGTGAGGGGAGATACTGATGCCTAAACAGTTTTATCTTAATGCAAGCAATGCAATAAGATAAAATTAGGTTAGGCTTGATAACCATTTTAGGGAAACATTCTTTTTGATATGTTTTTATGGAAAAGTTTAAGTTGTCTGTTAATACATATTAGTAAACAATATTAGTAAACAAAGCCAGTACAGTGCCTTAGTAATATACAGTATACTAATGAGTATATTAATAGCTGACAAGTTTTAACCATAAATTTCTAACCTTGGTGGAAGAGGCTGTTCATAAACCTAATTTAAGCTGATCTGCCCTTAGGAGCTCTTTTAGAAATATGAGTGATTGTCAAAACAAAGTACTGCTACTTGAAGCAAGTTATTCAGTGTAAATAATAACTAGTCTATTACCATTTACTTCTGCAATATTTCCCATACAAGTCCAAACATTTTTAAACTGTAACTTCACAGCATATGATGTTACCAGAGACAACAGAACTACTGCCAAGCCTCCTTCCACTCCTTAATTGGTAACATTGAGGGGCCACATTACCTTGGTTTCATTTGCAAGAACACTTTCACAAAAGTCTATCGAACCAACTCACTTAAAGGATAAGTTTACTTCAAATAAATAAATAAATGCACTGTTTTTGCAGGTTAAAAAAAACAATACACATTTATTTTATTTTTTTGCAAGGAACTTGTAAAGCATTGCACCAGTGATCAGCAGATTGTGGGTGTAAAGCCATGGTCCTGCAGACTGTCTGTGTATCTGTCTACCCATACCTCCAATATGGGCAGGCAGTAACACTCTGACAGGAAGCTCAATGAACTAACTAGGGCAATTAACATCACTCTGGTAGTTCATTGAGAAGTACAAGCCGACAGCAGCAGAGGCGGGAGGAGATCCCTTACTAGATGTCAAAATAGGGACGCCGGGGTGCGGGGGCCAATTCATTTGCAACATGATACATCCCAAATATGGGTGTAACATGTAACATGTTACAAAAGGTGAACTTATCCTTTAAGTGTCTCCTAGAATGTGATATGATTTGCATTCAAGTAATAGCAGGCAAAAACGGCCAATGCACACATTGCTTTGTGTTCAATGAGCAAACTATTTATATAGTCAAGATCCTTGATAAAGAAAGTTTGTAAACCTCTAAGAAGATCTTGAAAGGGGCTGCAGGTATTCCAATCAATTAAATTATATTAGTAGTGTAGTGTAAAGGCATACAAAGTATGTTTTATTTTCTCAAGAAAGATTTGTTGGTTAACCATGCCCTAAATATATTAGATGTTAGTTGAAAAAGACTTCAAAAGCAATCTAGTCCACGGTAATCAATGTCAAGCTGCCTACAACTGGAGGCAATACAGTAATATTGCTTTATTTTCTACATGTGGGCATACTGCAAAGGGTTGATTAAACATATTTCCTTTGTGGAAATGACCCTCACAAGTAGGGTGCTCTAGTAAAGATCAATTGGTACCGCATACGCGTAGATTACCTATATTGCCAGCACACCCTTTGAGGACCAAGGGACGTATTTGTCCCATGTTTGTAATTGCGTGTATCATCTGATTAAGAACTTAAAACTCTTTTTTTTTTTGGTTTGAGTCAAAATATTAGTTCTTATCAACAAACAACAAATGGATCTAGCTTTTTGCCAATTATTTCATGAAATGGCTTAGTTACAGCAACTGAAGTGTACGAACTTTAAAAACAAAAAAATTGATTCTTTTGGCGTTCCAAAACCTTACAGTCCTCAAAGGGTTAAATGTTAACCGTAAAGTTCCAAATTTTCTTCAGCCTTCAAAGAGATCACATTGTAAATTACAATGTTTTGGAGTTCCCCAGAATGCAATTGGGCATCCTGCAAAGATCACAGCAAAACTGCATCCTGCAGTGCCTAAGGAGGTGAAACCGACAGGAAAAACAAGGGACCTTAAAAAATATTTTGAACTCTCCAAACTCTATTCATGTGCCCACTATGAGAACATCATTAAACAGCAAACATTGCTGCATGTCTTAACATTTCCAAAGATCATTTAATGTTTTTGAAATGGTTAAGGAAGAACTTCAGTCTCCCTTATTTCTGCCTCACCCCCTCCTTGCCCACACAACCATCTCTGAATGTCTCATCGCTGTACAGGAGTGTTGAAGGCCTCTGCCAATTGTCCGGAACCAGTCAAAGACCTGGGGCACACCTGCACATGCACTGGGTTTCTCATACGTGCTTACACACTGCTGGTATCTGACATCTTGATACATGTGGCATGTGTGTGCATGTGTGAAAAACCTATCAAATGGCTCCCAAGCCCTGCAGCACTTCTGTGCAGCCACAGAATCCTATAGTGAGCATGCAGGCTAGCTTCTTGGATTTGTGACATGAGCATCGCAGGAGACAGCAAGGGACGCTATGCCATTCTTGACTAGGCAAGAAATAACAAAATTTTGCTGTGCTGCAGCACAAAAAGTTCAACACCCTTTACAAAAAAAATAAAATATGTAATTGTGGGACAGGGAGGAGGAAGAAGTCTGGTGACAAAAAAATTGTTTTGTTGAATGATGGTCTGGTTCAAAGACTGAACATACAGTGCTATGTTTGAAGTCTAAAATAGTACCACAAACCAACCTACCCTAATTGTAACACATGGTAGAGAGAACATCAACCTTTGGGATAGCTTTGTTGCAATAGGCTTGGACAATCACTAGTTATCATATATAATACTAAAATCAAAACTGTGTTAGAAAAGTTTACAGTAGGATTTCAGGGTAGTAGTCCATCCAGTGGAATGCAAATAAGAGTTGCGTGATACAACAAGACTGACAAAAAACACTACAATAAATCAAAAATAGAGCTGTTTAAAGTGGAACTTCACTCTCTCAATGAACATTGACTATTTTGAATCTGTATGCTGCTAGCAATAGTAAATAGAATGTAAATTAGTAAATAGAAAATACATTTGCTAGTTTTAAACTTTTTTTTTTACATTTCTTCAGTTACTTCCTGGTTTCCTGCCTAGGCAAATTATGTCATACATCCCAGCA